TTTTCAGAAAACGCGTGTACCCGCATACAAAAAAGAGAAAAAGTGATTGTTTTCTCATACTCGAGATGTATGATCATGATTACAGTAATGTTTCTGGAGTTGGGAAAAAAAGACAACTTTTTTCTCTTTTTTGTACGCGTATACACACGTTTCTTGTCTGAAAACGCGTTTAAACGCACAAAAACATTCATTTTTTGCCGATTTTAGGCCAACCTATGTGCGTTTAAACGCTTTTTCTGGAAAGTTTATCTCCCTGGGTAGTAAAGACCCAATAAGTTTTTTTATTTACAATCGTTGTTTTCTTGTTGTATACATGTGAGAGCAATCTATGTTAGTGTCTTCTCTTTACCATTTCTGTAATACCTTCAGAATTCATATAACGAGCAGAACTCTCATCTCCTTAAATCAGAAGAATAGAAATAAAATCACGCAGGCACTTTAAAAAATTGCATTTAAATGATGAAACGGACATAAAATTGATGTATCATAAATTCATTGATTGGAGTGAATATTTTTATTGCATTTGCTTTATTTAAAAGTTTATTATTAATAAATCAAATTGAAATGCATCAATTTTGATGCCCATTTCATTATCTGAAATGCTATTTGCTTATTGGTTCCCATGGTACTTCTTTATTCTCAAAAATAATAAAAAGTACATAAAAAATATAAATATTTTATTGAGTACATCATTCTTTGAATGTAGTTACATTTACTGTTTGAGCTGTTTTTGGTTAACAACTCGTTTGAAGACAACAAATCTTTGTACAATAATGAAGTATTTTAATGAATTTGTATTTCTGCAGCTATTGATTTGTGACTACTGTCAACAATTTAATCGATTTCTTTTCTACATCATTTGTATGTTATATAAGACGTTATTTCAAGCATGCATAAAAACAATTTTTATTTTTAATCTATAAAGCATATAGAAATATATATTTATAAAATAAGCTTTTCATATATCATAACAGAAACAAACAAAACAAAAATCGATAGATGTACTACTAATTCATATATTAAACTATTCAGAAGCTTTTTAACTGATTTTCAGTATATGATATGATATCAAAGCATAATATAGTAGTTATTAAAAACTGCTACCATAAAACATGTAACATAATTAGAAGATTCAGCTGAAAGTATATGTCTTGCAATGAATAGTGCAACTTAAACTCGAATATGCTAATTCTCATCAGAAATATTCCTTTATATTAAGCAATAATCTTTTCTAACGATTTAATTTCATTTTTTTTGCTAAACATAAGTACATGTACTCATCATTAAAGCGTTTTCTCTAGGTATTATTATTCACAAAATTAAACATGTCTTGTAATTTCAAAATATTTACTGCTGTAAAAACAAAAATATTTGAATAAAATTAATATTGATTCTAATACTTGTGACAAACATTCGGTCCTAAAATAAATATTATTTTTAAACAAATATGCCTAGTGTTTTTATGTTGCTCGGTACACACTAGTTATTAAAGAAGATCGATCGATTTCTAATATCCATTATCAGAAGAGTGCACTTAAATTATGGGAAATCATACTTCAAAGATGTTGTTAAGATGTATAAACATCAACATATATGTGTCTATCTATATATATATGAAATCTTATTAATAATGAAGAAAATATCTTATAATTACACATTAAAAGATAATATAGGTAATTAAAAAAATTTAACTAGTAAAATTTAATATACTTTGACGAATATCTTTATGTTTATTCTATTGTTCATTCTCATTTTCAACAACCACTATACCTTTGAACTGTTCAGATGATGATGAAAATGGTAATCCAGAAAGAGAACGAATGATGCGAAAATTTGAAGGTGACAAGATTTTTTTACTTTCTTACAAATAGCTTTATTTATTTTTATTGCAGGAGCCATTATTACTGATCCACAAGTTTTATTTGCTGATGTCATTGGTTTAGAGCAAGCTAAAGAAGCGTTAAAAGAAGCTGTTATTTTACCAGTGAAATTTCCACATCCGTTTCAAGGTATAATATATCATAAGAAATTTCTATCGTTAAATTATGAGGGTATGTTTTGTACTGATCAATCGTTGTCTAAACAAAAGCTACTGGATCATGCGTTACTTACCATACTGATTCCGAACATGACTATAAGAAATTTCCTTAGATCTTTGATTTAATGTAAAAATCTCGATTTTCATAATTTTCAAACGAATAAATATGATAATATAATGAGAAGATATTTTACGATATTTGATTTTTGGAATTTTATCTTTCAAGATTTTTATAGTAATATCTGAATATTTTTTATACTGATTTTCTAAGAAACAGAGTGTTTAAGGCTAACAAATATTTTGTCAAAATTGTTTTGGATCTACTCCGACTATGAATTATATGTAGTTGTCAATATAATAAACAAGAACAAATAACCCATTTTGTTTACTAGCATCGTACTCAGATTGCCATTCACATCTTCAACAATAGATTTTTCGATTGAACAAAAAGATTTTGAATTGCATTCAGGAAACAGACTTGGAAAATATGCTACATAATTCATGTCTTTTTTTGTAAAAATAAAAATTGAAAGACTAGTCAATAGCAGACTTTATCGATAGATACATCCTCCGATCCTCAGAATGATTTAACTTTGATAAACTTTCGTTTGCATATTGGTTCTGTAAAGTTGTGAACGGAGTGTGAATCTAGATGTACCATCTAAGTGCGGTTAAATTAAAGACTGAAGGGGGTGGGATGTGGGTGTGGACGTCAGATCGAAAGAAAAAAACATCCATACCTACACCCACATCCTACATCTTACAGTAACACGGAACTGATATTTGTTTCTCCTATTATTCAATGGTTTACATGTATAGGTCTACGAACATCACATGATATGGGTACCTCAATAATAAAATAGACGATTTATTGCATACGAGACAACAAGCGCTTTTTATAGTAGCATTCAATACAGTTTTAAAGTTGAGCAGACAATAGCAGTCTAACAATGATTGTTCATTGTATTGGCATCACTTCTGAAGTAGTTTGCCAACGCTTTCTAATGAATGTGTAGCATAATCGTACCATTATTGGAACGGCAAATCTCAAAGTTATGGTTATTCCACCATGTAGACCGAGTATAGTCGTTGTAACATCAAGCATGTCGTGTCGTTCGATTAATGTGTATGAACATGAAGTAGGCCAGCACTGTTCAAAAAAACTTTCATATGATATATTGGATGACCAATGTTCAATGAACATTTGTTGAACAATTGCATTAATCGACACATTCACAGCAAAGCGGGAGCTAGTATTAAGTACTGACGGTGTGTAATTCGCATCAATATAAGAGACCATTTGATCGACACACGATTGTACGTAAAGACATTCGATGGGTGTGGGTGTGGGTGTGTGGTGGGGTGTGGGTGTGGGG